GGTGTAAGTTCCAAAAGAGTCACAGAGATTGAGTGTATTTGGAGCTACTGCAGGAACATCAGATGGTGAAAGTTATTTTCCCTTGTACAGTATGTGATAGTTGCCAGTACTTACTTACACAGTGGTTTGTAAAGAATAATTGAATACTCCTGTAATTAACATTACTATTGTCATGCCAACTTCGTAAATAGCAAAGTCATTTGTATTATTTCAAATGTAAACTTACTTATAACTTATATAAAGAATGAATAAAATGTATGAATGTATTTTTCTACTGTATTAAGTCTGAATTGCTCTTTATTTTAATAGCATTGTCCTTTACATCCACTTCTGTGACATTATTGTTTCCAAAGAACTGAGCGAAGGGTGTTCCACACTAAAAATCTACACTACACTACAGTACAGTCCTCAGGTCCAGGAAAAGAAGGTTTTGGATTATGCCTCTGTACACAAACAACACAGTTAATTAAGTGCATACTCTTTTCAGTGAACAGTTTGTTCTTAAATAAACTGTTTTTTTATGCTTAGGCCTGGCGTTAAGCAACGGGTACCAATGGAAAAAACATAGAAGGTTTGCCCTTACAACTTTAAAGAACTTTGGCATAGGCAAGAATACTCTGGAGTCATTCATCCTTGAGGAGAACAGATTCCTTTATAAGGCATTCAAGGAAGAGCATGGTAAATATAACAATGAAGCATCTTTTGACATGGGGAATACATACTGTACAATATAAGTGTGTACACGTCATGTTATATTATATGCCTTTCTCAATGAGGGGTTGTGTTTAAGTGTTTTTAATAAAGATATATGTCTTAAGTATGTGTCAAACACTAATCACTGTGAATCTACAGAATCGGTGATATAAATAAGCAATAAAGCATATTATATTTTTTTGTTTTGAGTACAATGACCCAAGGTTTCAAGATATTCTGCGAAGGACTGATGAGACTTTCCTCCTGATAGGCTCATTACCAGCCCAGGTATGACAAGAATACCAAAGGAAGTCAAAATAAATAGCACTAGACCCACATACTTACCACTTTAAAATTAAGACTTTGACAATTTTTGCTGCTGCTCATTCAAGAGCTCAGTGCTGAAAGATTGTAAAACTAAGGACAAACACCTATTTTCTGAGCACATATAAACTGATATCAGTTTGCAAATGAAAGGATAATGTATATACTGTATATCATAAAATCACTACATTTCAGTATCATACTCTAATGCAGGAATACACTACACTAAATACACTAAAAAATGGAGACACAAGCATCACTTTTATCAGCTTGGTAAAAGTTTAAAATGCTTAAGAAATGCAAGGTCAAAGTGCCACAGTAGATGTTCCTTATATGCAGCAAGTCTGACTGAGAGCTCACAAGCAGGTCTCATGCAGCGGTGAGGCGGAGAGCACCACAAAACAACAAAGTAACAAAAATTAAAGGCACGCAAAAAAAACCTAACACTTGGGTCTGAAAAGCGGTAGCAGCTAGGAACAGGAGAAGCACAGCGACAAGGTAGCGAGCACACAGTTGCCCTGAGGAAATGGAACTGAAGATGTGAAATGAGTCTGTCTGAATATCGTCTAACAGAGCTGGATGGTGTGCTGTGCTGCGTGTGCATGCGGGACTGATCAGCAGTCACTCGAGCATGACACTTCCATTTTACAAGTAGGACTCAGTTTTGGTAACCTACTATATGTACAGTACATGACATCCCAAATGCCATTGTTTTAGTGCTGTAGGATACCGTTTCTCAACCTTTTCCACCTCCATCACACCTACATAAATATAATATAGCGCCTCCCTTCCCATTCATGATCACCAGCTACAGTAAAGCACATTCTTAAAAACTGTATAAAATAGAACTCATATCAATGTTTAATCTGGCACCTGAAGTTGCTAAATTAAACCTAAAGGAACGGTTCGTCCAACACAAACTTAAGGTACACCAATCCACAGCAAAAAAAAAGTCAAAGCATCATGAACTCATCATCTTCATCATCATCATTATAAAACATCTAGTTTTCTGTCAAGGTTAGTGAATGCTTTTTAGATTTTGAGATGATTGTTTTTTTAATATGACATACAGTATGAACGAACCCTAAGATCTTATTTCATTGGTTTGTAAAAATCATTGATGATAGTTATTCGCACTTTAGGTATCCCCACTTTTAGCAGGATCCCAGTATTGACTGAAATGAGATATTTACAGAACTTTTATTAAACATGAGGAAAATGTAATTAGTTGCTCTTTGTTGAAATATTTAATCAAGAGGTGAAAAGGTTTTTGAGTGAAGTTATTTAATGTAATATAATTTTGCTAGCAGTAGGCAGATTAGCTCCCTGCAAAAATCAGTTTGAAAATAAAGAGATGTTGTCCTAAGGTAATTAGTGTACCTTGCAGAAAAAGGATGACATTCCAGCAGGATTCCATGAGACAAATCTGGCCATATGTACTCTGGACCTGTTAGATGCGGGGACAGAGACCTCGGCGACAATTCTGCGCTAGAGCCTCCTCTACATGGTCAAATACCCAGAAATTCAAAGTACAAGTTCCTTCGAGTCCCCAATACTACATTATGGAAAACTGTCCATCCACCTACATATTACAAAACACTTTTGCAGGCACACAAATCAATATTAAGAAATGTAGTAGTAAACTATGTGGTTATTGGGGTTTTTGATCAATTCTGCAGACTTCATAATCATAAAAAAACTCTAGAAAACTATTCCAGTCTGCATGATCCTCACCACTTTTTTGTTGAAGACTTTTTTGGTAAAGTCCTTACTTTTTGGTAAAGTCACATTACTAATATTACCAAACATTAGTAATTAAAATAATGCAATATCTTGAAAAAAAGAAACCTATTTTTGTCAAAGACTTGGGAAGACAGACTGGGTTCCTGTTTCTTGTTTTATACCGTATATTTACATTCTTCATTTGTATTGCATTCAAAGAGAAGGTCCAGGCTGAGATAGACAGAGTGATCAGAAAGGAACGGCAACCTTCAATAGCAGACAGAGTGCATCTTCCCTACACTGATGCTGTGATCCATGAGGTCCAGAGGATGGGCAATATTGTTCCCCTGAATGTGCCCAGGATGACCACTAAAGACACTACACTGGGAGGTTACTTTATTTCTAAGGTGAGAGAAAAAATAAAACAATAGAGGCTTGCATCTAATGTCCCATTTGAGGTGTTTCTCCTATCAGTTCTGTATTTAGCTGACATCATTTTGATTAAACTTTTTAGTAAGTGCTTTTTCTATTTTCTTTCTTGTCACTGCTACTGTACTCTATATTTCCATAGGGTACAGCAGTGATAACCAATATATCCTCATTGCTTTTTGACAAAAATGAGTGGGAAACACCTGACACATTTAACCCCAAGCACTTCCTGGAAAATTTCGGAAAAGAGATACTTTTCTTCCATTTTCAGCAGGTAATGTGCTTCCTTCCCTGTTGTTTTTTTATCATATGCAGTCTTCTTGCTTCTTGCTTATCCCATTCCACTTGACTTTTAGGCAGTGAATATTTTTTTATAGTTCAGTAACTCTTTTAAATGTAAGATTAAATTAAATAATACTCAACCCTCTGTTTCATAATGTCATGTGAAATCCCACATAGCCTTATATTCTTTTCAGGTTTATTCTCATAGGTCCGTACATCCTTTACAATAAAGACTAGTCAAATTGTACTGTGGTACAATTATATATGGAGTATATATACTGTACTCTATACTCCACACCTGAAGAAGGCTCCACGGCCGAAACGTTGTGTTCTCTTTCTTCTTTTTTTCAGCATGGAATAAACCTATTACTTGTTCCTATATGGAGTATATAACACTAAAATATTATCTAATGGTTCTTAACAGGAAAGAGGGTGTGTCTGGGGCAGCAGCTCGGTCGGATGGAGCTGTTCAAGTTCTTCACTTCATTTCTGCAAAAGTTCACCTTCTGTGCTCCTCAGGGGGTAGATGTCAGTTTGCATGCTCAAATGGGATTCACTCTGTCTCCACGACATTTTAAAATATGTGCCATCCCTCGATAAGCCAATTAATTATTCGTCTGGAGGACAACATCTGGGAACCAATCTAAATGGAAAATCATAAAATACGGAGCCTAATTAAATAGAAGATAGCTCATGTTTTTGTGCTACTTTCTAAATGTAAATCTTTCAATCATTAGGGATCTTTAAAAATGTTTTATAAAAAGCACTATTTAAACAGGCTTACTGAATTCCTAGTTTTTGTAGTAAATGAATAATTTGAACATGAATATACATTATTATTTGTCTTGCATTTGATTGCTATAATATTTCCATGCAAATTAATAAATATGTATCTTCTGAATTACATTTTTTGTCATTATTAATTCAGTGTGACTCATGTTGCTCCACTGGTTGACCCCAAAAACATTTTAACGTAGACAGACACTGCACTGTGGATGAGTTGTATTAAAATACGATACATACAAATATGTTTCCTTGTACTATCACAAGACATTTTTACATGTTCAGTACTGAGAGAAATGATTTTTGAGTTAGGCAGAGTAGCATTATGGAGACATTTTGGTGCATATGATTATTATACATATATTCAGAACTGCAGATTAGTATAAAACATTGAAAATCTTTGTACGAGATTTCATTTTTAAATCTCTCTGTTCTAGAGGTTTACTTTGTACTATATCTTTATTGAAAATGCAAACAAAAGGGAAAGTATACTGTACTTTTCAAAACCTATTTTTTATTTGAAATATACAGTTTAAGGTTTGTTAGGCTTTGACAAATCAAACTACAGTATTATTTTTATTAGTTATTTTCACTGCTAGCAAAAACTGCTTTAAAGTTCATTCAATATCAACCTTGTGATCATTTGATAAAGCAAGGCGAAAGATTACTACTTTGTGACACAAATACCCCAACTGTTTTTTTTTGTTAGTGTGACCAAGGTCAAAATGAAGATACTGTATATGAAGGTGTATGTCATGAAAAAATAAGAAAGATTTTAAAGTCACAATAAAACCCATTTTATTTGGATAGGGATTTTCTTGTTATGGGCTGTTGTAGCTCGGCTCAGTCAAGGATAATAATTTGTCTTTCATAATAGTAGTACTTTATGTATTCTAAATATGTATATTTATTATAGAATGTATGTAATACTTTTCACAGTAGTCTAATGGTACTTTCACATCTGTTTTCTTCTCTCTAACTTAATGTGAAAAAACTAGTTCAGTGTTGGAAATCCATCTATTGCACTGAGAAAGCTTTAGGAATTTCTACCATTTCATTTTCAACTATTAAAATACAGCAGGTGCTTTTTCTTCTAAATCTAAGTACAATTCAGTGTTCCCATAATAACCACTCCTTTATATGTTTCCTGTCTCTCCTATTGCATGTATATTGTTGTTGTATTAATGACCACCACGGTCTGTTAACCACGTTTCAGTGATTTCAATTGCACCATAGTCATCTATTAACACAGTCTTTTCTATTTCTGGTATTTTATTCCTGATACTCTGCATAGTATTTCTTTGGATTATCCCCCCTTCCCTTCTAATCCCTTAAAACACTTATTTTTTGTAGTTGTTTATAGCAAGCCAACTGGTAAAAACCTAATTTACTGTAGATGTAATGCACCTAAACAATTCTTGAATAGAATGGTTGACCTACAACAGAAAATATTCCTTTTGCTTAATTTTCTGCTGTGAAAAAGTCATGACTTGCTTTTACATCTTGTATGCTGTACTTTTGTCACTCACCATTTTTAATATTTTATACAGAAACAATTCTATGGGGATATTCTATTTAAGATTGAGCCATTTTGTGGAATGTTGCGGGCACACAGGCCACCAGAAATCAGACACAGCCTGCATGTCACATTTTTCATGACAGCCCTTCTCTGATTTGGAACATATCAACCCCTTATCTTCCATCTCAGCCACTCAGGACAATTCCACTAATAACCAACACTAGTACTTTCATATTCATTCATATATGCAGTTTTTTAACTGAGAAGTTTAACTCTTAATCAGTTTTCAGCAGAGAAATGGTGACCCATTTGCAATATTCGATAAAAATAATCCCTAATTTATTCAAGGATTCTGGGTCTGTGGACAAAGCAGAGGTAATAACATATACATCATACATTGTATATCATATTTACAATAACAGAAAGAGCATCTGTATTATCTCCAAGGGGCAATTTGTTAGCAATAATAATACTGTACACGTAAAAAATATTCTAAGCTTCATTGTTTTAAGTTTAAACTGTTTTTCTCACTACCTATTATATAAACTGAAACAATAACAAAAACACAAAAATCAACAACCATGCGAGAAAGGACTGCTGCTCCCAGTTTACCAGTTAATACTTATAGATATTTATCTATACTTTTTAGTATTAAAGGTGTTATTTGTCTGGTCTGTAGACAGGATTAAATGAGGTTAATGTTGAGGAATTTAAGAATCTCAAATTAGAATTAATTGAAATTCTAATTTAAAAAATCAGTTTGAAATAATACACATTTTCCAAAAAATTGTAAGCTTCTTCATCTTTCGTGAAAACCAACGGACAGAAATAAACATTATCATACTGTAAACCTAAACCTACAACATATCATCTTATTATATACTCATGTATAAAAAAATGATGCGTGAGCAGGACTCTCTGTAGAAGAAAAACAGGAACAACTAAGCCTGGTGCTTAATTCAAAACACTTTTGAATCACCCTTGGTGCAAACAAAAAGAATCTTAGGTTTCTCTTTTTCTTTTCTAATTTCAAGGATGTGGCAGTGGTTCAATTTAGAGTATAAAGAAATACTGAGTGATAAAACCATAATTGTACAGCACAAAAGCATTTGGTTTGATCAGGGTTCTAATAGCAGCTGAGTGAGAGTTTATTTTAAACAAGGACAACTATTAAAATAAAGCAAAGGGTTTAACCTAAGTCAACTTAAAAAAGTATTTACTTTGTTCAATTATCAGTTTGGTAAAGGCCAATATTCTCAAGATGAATATGTATTTTAAAATGGAGAAATATGAGACAGAGTTAGAACCAGGTGAATTCAGTTTGATCACTGTTTTGTACAAAGCACTTTTCTTCTTGCAGCAAGATTTACTTAAAGATATACTGTAACTAGTTCAACTTACTCAGTGCTGAAAAAATGTGTCTTTATTAATTACATCTTGGAAACTTTTAACTTGCTAGTACTGTGAAAAGACAATTTTAGGGAAACATTTTAGCATCTGAAACACCTTGGTGACATTCAGCAATGGATCAATATCTGTTAACACTGCTTTTTTCTGCTCTTTTCTTTTAAACTTTTCACCATGCTTGACTCTCAAGGGTTTACATTACCTCGTCACCTGTGCTAAATCAATCTGTCTTTCACTTATGAAGTGATTTTGTGATTAGAGTCATGGTGTGTATCATGATCTTCAGTAAATGACTCCAGAAACATTTAATCATGTTCAAGTTCCATATGTCATATTTTCTAAAAATGCACATGCATAAATCAGATTATGATTATTTGAATTAAAAAGTTATTTTAATGCTTGATACTAATTATGATCATATTGAACATAAAAAATGTAAAACTGGAGAATTTATTTCTGATTGTGCTGTAATGTGGTCATATATAACACAAGGCCATATGATTTTCTCCTTTCTTTTCAAATGACAAATTAAATGTTCACCTAAATATATTCTCAGCAGTATTTATTTGTTCTTCACACAAAAACACTTTTATAAAGGCAAAACCATATTTTTCCATAATGTGACACTTGAACTAATTTAACTATACACACAGCGTAATTTTACCCTTTTAATTGTTTTACCTTTGGCAGAAAAAAAACAAGCCTGCCCAAAGCGGCTTATTATGTACAAAGTGCATATTTCTTCCTGTTCAAAGTTCATTGAACTGCAGTACAAAACAGTAATCCAACAGTGTTTCAGATACGAAAATTAGATATTTGTTTTACATTACAAAGTTTTGTTACGAGGACCTGCTAAGCTCACAACTTTTAAGATGTCGTTGTATTCTTTTACTGAATGCCTGGATGCCCAAGGAATTCTGATTTTCCTCTTGCTATTTCTGCTGATAACCGACATTGTCAAGAACAAGAAACCCAAGAACTTCCCTCCTGGACCCTGGGGGCTACCCTTCGTGGGAAACATCTTTAATATCGACTTTAAACAGCTCCATATTTCCACGGCAAAGGTCAGTGTTACCGCACTATACTTATTTTAATCTTAATTACTCCTCCTGAGATTTATTGTGGTTCAAAATAACTTAAACCTAAGTCTCATGCTGAAAATACTAACATATTATATTTATTATTTAATATAAAATTTTATTTAAAAAGTACATATTTTCTACAATAGAGTTTTATATTTTTGATGTTGATACCTGTTCCTAAACCTAAAACAAAGTGGAGAAAATGCTGAATGTCATTTTTTCCAAAGCTGGCAGAAATCTATGGTAATGTTTATAGCCTGAGGCTTGGAAGAAATAAAGCTGTGTTTGTGACGGGCTATCAGATGGTGAAGGAGGCTCTGATCAATCAGGCAGAGACCTTTGCGGCTCGACCCCCAAGTCCAACAATGGAGAGACTTTACAGCAACTATGGTGATGATTTTTATTCCATTTAATTGAAATCTTTTCATATGACATTGCTAAAGTCAACAGAGAATGACTATTTACATCTTATTTGAGCCAAGTGATTTTTTTACATTCTTAATATCTATTAACATTTCAGTTATATTCAATATACTATTGAAATGATTCATAATATGTATTTTCTAATACTTTAAATGACATTTTAAAAAGTAAAATTAAAAATGATTTTTCAGTTACATTCTTTTTTTTTCAGAGATACAGAATGTACAGAACCTTTATTTTTAGTGTCTTTTTTTTCTTCCCTGCCCACAGGTTTGTTCTTTAGCAATGGATATCTGTGGAAGAAACAGAGAAGATTTGTTCTTTCCACCCTGAGGAACTTTGGGCTGGGTAGGAAGACTCTGGAGTCAGTGATTTCTGAGGAGAGTAGGTTTCTCCAGCAGGCTATAGAAGATGAGCAAGGTAATCACAGGAGCGCATGTCCTGAACACAGCTAATAAGTATACTGTACACTGCTCATTAGAAGCAGGGAACAGACTCAATTATACTCTTGTTTTGCCATTAGGTAAACCTTTCAATCCCCACTTTCTTCTGAACAATGCTGTTTCAAACATCATCTGCTCCATGGTATTTGGACGCAGATTTGATTACAGTGACAATCGCTTCCAGAGGCTGCTGCACTTACTGTCAGAAACCATGCATTTGGAAGGAACGATATGGACACTGGTAGAGAATATTTACTTACAATTCTCATATGCAGTTAAAACAAAAATAAACTATACAAAACTATTTAGGATCACATCATCCTTAATAGTGATGATGATTGGTGGTGTGATGGTGGTGACTTACACAGGCATGATGCTCATTTAGAAATTTGTTCCATTATTGAGTGAACACTTGTTACAAGAAAAATGTAATTATTTCTGCATGGGCACAACATTATTCCTCTCAGCTGTGTATCAGCCTGCTTCAATTTAAGAGAATATAAAACATATAAATAAGAAGAGTAATGGAGCTGAAATATCCTTAATCTCTCATTTTGGCTTTAGCTTTATGAAGCTTTCCCTGTGATATTGAAGTATTTACCCGGACCACACAACAGGGTCTTTAAGAACTATGAAGAACTTGAGGCCTTTGTGGGGGAAGAAGTTGAGAGGCACAAGGAAGATTGGGACCCATCAGCACCCAGAGACTACATTGACAGCTACTTAGCAGAGATACAAAAGGTAATTGTTTCAAAATCAAATCTGAGCATTCCGAGTTTCTGCATGGGCCACTGTTACAAACCCACAATTCCTACTCAAGCATCTACACTAAGTGGCATCCTGGCATTTGCACCACCATCTTGAGTGTGTGGGAGTGTGTAGTCTGCAGGAAAGCACCCCAATGCACCATCACCACCCTTCACTGGACAGAAGTCCTGAGCCTTCTAAGCTTAATAGTTCAAGACCTTTGATAGCTCATGTCATTAACACAACAACAGAATAAAGCATTTTCAGTACCGAACAGACTAAATCATGCACTTGTATTTCTGTCCTCAGTTAAACCTTATAATACTGTTTCCAGCACTATCTGTACATCAATCCATGTTACACAATGAGGATAAGTTAGTAAAAGTTTTAGGGTTGAATAATTAAATCTACCCGATCAGAGGAGATAGTGCTAAATTTGTACACACTTTTTGGTATAGAAAACTAAGTTACTGCACTCAGAATGATTGGGTTGAGTTGATTATTGTAAAACTCCATTCTACTTTTACCTACAATATGTCCACCTCACCTGGTATAAATATCTCTGAACAAAGCCCCGGTCTGTATTCAGTGTTTTGTGATGTCTGTATAACCTTAAGTAAGTGACAAGACCAAGGTACTATAAGGACAAGGTTATTGTTACAAATGGAGGGTTACGAAAATGGAGAATAAGCAGGAATTCACTGAGAGGACTCGTCAATAAGTAGTAAAATAAATATTCATAACCCCAACTTGTTCATGATTTCTGACAGAATATACCCAAGCAGTTGGTATACTCAGAGGCATGTGAATTCTGTGTTCTCTGGCACAGCTTTGGTGAAAAGACTAAGAATGCAGGCACACATGGTTAAATATTTATTAACAATGACAATACAAATACTACACTACACACAACATACAGATGCAGCAATTCAAAATGGGTGGGGTATTTCGCGGCATACCCCGGTGGGCGTGCCGCGGTATCACACGGTTAATCGCGTCATTTGACGTCATGCCGGAAACTATCCGGCGTCACCTTGTAAAAC